CCTTTGATGGTGGAGGTTTCTATGTCGTCTTCGGGTCCGTAGATTGCATCGTCAAGGTAGGATTTACTCTTCTTCTTCTGAGTTTGTGCAATCGAAGGAGCCGAAGAGAACTGTGATGCTTTCCTAATGAAGTGTGCCTTGAAATCATCCGGAGTCATGCCATATCGGCTAAAGAAAACAGCCCGATCCTAATTATACACATGATTTTGTACATCAATAGAGCGTAAGAGCTACACATAAATAGACTTTGCTCACTTCAAAAAACTTCATCTTGAGACGTGGATTCAGGATTGTTGCACACACTGGTGCCGGTTTTCGAAGTGCATCTCGGAAGTATTCTTCAAGTTTGACCAGCATGTTCCGCGCAGCAGGTAGAAGTTGATCATGGTCATACTTTCCTTGGACCTCAAGGACATATAAATAAGAGATCAGCCAACTTGAAATCGTATAAGAGAGGTGATGAGATGAGTAAAAGGGGTCACACTTCTATCAAACCCTCGATAACAACTGTATATATTGGAATAACCTCTTGCATTGTCGGAAACTTTCATACACACAACATATTGGTGGCTTCACTAAGGGGTTCAAGGAAGTCACACATTTGTTGAACATAGTCCCACTCAAGCGGGGTAATAGCATATCGAGTTGCTTCTCGACGTTCACAATACTTCATGCAGGCTAATTTCAGTCTCAATGCTCGTTTAAGCATGAAGTATGATGAGTTCCATCGTGTTGGAACATCAACAGATAGTCTATCAACACGATCGGTCAGTTTGGATTTTGGAGGCACGGCTTCTTGTTCATCGGGGTTGACCTGTGCCTCATTGTGCTGAAACACTTGAAGAGCTTCTTCTTGCAAATTGATTTCTTCTTCGTCTTCAACATCCTCGATTTCAGTGTTTGAATTGAGGGACCGAACAAGTTTGACTACACTAGCAAAAGCTTGGCTTCGTTGCGGAGTCTTTTGCGTGTAGATGGCCAGACCGCGGACACGTGCGTAGATTGTGCTTAGATTGACTGAGGCGTTGTCCGGGGGATCGACAAGCAATGATAATGTTGAAGGAGCTTGATCTTCATCCAAATCATCTTCGCTGCCAAAGACCTGAAGGCCCTCTTTTGCAGCTAGATTGATTACATGACCACAACATCCAAGAAGCTGATCTTCTTCAAATTGTAAATCGGGTTCTTCCGAAAGCAAACGGCCAATCTTCTTATTTACGCTTGCGTTGTCTGCAGTCAAGGCTGATATTTTGTGACATAGGTTAAATCTTTTTAAATACTTGAGGAATAGATTGGTGAAGTTTTCACCATCATGTGCACCTGGATTCAAGCAAGGAATCTGTTAACATCAGATATCAATCAATAAGACAATGTTAAACAGAATGACCAACCTTCAATCTCGGGCATTCCAATCACAACATCCATCAAATTCCAATCTTTTGAGATATAATGACTTGTAATTCCCAAAAACCGGTTATTATTGGGTGAAGTCCAGGCATCTTGGGTGAAGGCCACGTAGTCCGCTTCAGCAAAACACACATTTTTTATGTAGTTTTCAAAGTTTTGATACACTTTTCTACAGTGCTGAGCAATCGCATGGCGCTGTACAAGCATGCCGGAGATCTGTGGATTTACAAGTAGAAGAAGATTTCGGAAAGCTGGCTTGTTTACAATGGCGTACGGAAGGTCACAGTCAGCGATGAAGTAAGAGATAGCCGTCTTAAGAGTATTGACGTTGAGAGTATCTACTGGCTCGAGCTTAGATTTTTTGATATATCCAAAAAGACTCGATTGACCCTTCAAGTCTTCACTATTTTCTGTAATGTTGTGACCGAGTAAATGAGTTTTCATCGACTTTGTACTTCCAGTAGCATCTTCCTTCATCTTTATGCCACATGTCTTGCCAGTTATGGGGTCACTGAAATTGCATCGGTTATAGCCAGTTCCTCGTTTTTCTCCTGGAAACTTTGTAAAGTACTGCCAAACATAACTGACCCGACCACGTTTACATCCTTTGGTTGTAGTAGATGATGTAGTATCTTCATCACCAGATGGATCGAGGACAGATGATGCTTCAGCAGAGGTACCACCAGGCATTGCAATAAAGGTTGGAAACAACCAAGGTATTGAGTGACTAGTCAGAAGTCTCGACTCTTCAATCAGGGAAAAAGATACATCATAACGTGTCTTTTTACATCAATGTCTTTCTACTACTTATATCTCACATAGGAAGCAGGACTGTCATTGAGGCCCGTTTCTCTTCTCACATCGTCATCTTTTGAAATGCTCAATTCGGTTCATTTTTACGTAATGTCAATTTTATTATCTGTTCAAATTTCTCTTTGAACGTTGACGGGACCTCTTTCATCGAAAGGATTTTTTTCGGGGCCCCGCGGGCTCCCCAAGGGTTTTTCGGGGCCCCGAGGGTAGTAGGGTAGGGTTCCGGGATGCCTGTCAGCCTCTTAGGGTATGAGCGGGTAGGGTTCGGGTAGGGTTCGGGTAGGGTTCGGGTGCGAATTCAGAGGCTCGGGGCAGGGTCGGGACGATGATTACCCGCGTTTTTAGGCTCGGGGCTCAGGTTGATACATAGCTCATCTCAGCCCTCACATGTGGAGTACTCAAAAGGTGAACAATTACCCAATTATCATCATGTACATAATTCTGGTCATGAAGGAAACGGAAACCTTCGTGGTCAGTTGGGGGCAAATTACACCGTTGAACTCGAACTTGTGCACCTTGATCCCACATCTTACAAAGTGGACAGTCACTGAAGATTTATGACCTCTTATCTAAGTGTTTATTGGTTTCATCACCAAGAAGATGACATTGGGCTCCATAGAAGTGAAGACTTGTTGTTGAACGTCCAAGAGCATGACAACCAGTCGGATGACCCTGAATATCATTCCTTGACTCGGACTTGACTGTTCAAAAGTCATTAAAACACCATGAGTCAGGATATGTACTCAGAGTCATGATGAAGCCCACCAAACGGAAAAGTTTGTAATGTCAGGATTAACTACAGTCAATTTATAAAGGCTTGGACAATGTGGCCCGCAAAACTCCAGCAAATTGGCGGGGAATTTGTGACAAGCTTCTCTGATTTGACTCTACCATCTGTGGAAAGGAATCACAATTGCAGGTCTGAAAGGACCAGATGATTTCGTTTGATGGGAATCCTCGGTAAATATTTCCGTGATGTCAAACAAAGATCGGTCAAATGAGTACATATCTCTGACCTCTCAGCAATCTCTTCCACTACCGGTTCGTAAAGTTTAATCATCACATGTCAAATGAGCATGATGCTTGGGATGAAATCAATCAGATTTTGAAAATCCACATTATCCACATGATGATGTCTCCATGAGGTCGATAAGGGCTAAATTGCTTCCCATCCCCCTCACTGCGACCCAAAGTTCGAAGTTTAAGAATTTCCTCGCCAACTTTACAGCCTTGAGAAATCCCGAATGCCAACGAAGGTTATTGCGCTTATTTTTGTAACACATAAGTTATAACACGATGACGAGCGGTGATTCGAGAGTTCGGAATTTTAATCTATCCTGTTCATACAATTCAAAATCAAACCTGAGAGCATACATGACTATATGCTATGCTTGTATGTACTCATTCCCAACATCCACCTGTCTCTTGCAAACTTTCTCGCATTTAAATTGTGGTTGTGCGATGTGGAGACTAGATGGGAAGGAGATGTCCTGAGATGTCATATTGAATCGAAACCAAAGCATGAATGAATGGGCTGAGTTCTGATGGGGTTATGTGTCGCCCATCAATCCAATTTGAGGAGACGGAGAGTTATTGTCATGATGTTCAGAATTTCTGAATGGTGGATGTGTGGATGTGTGGATGGATAGTCAGATGGATGGATGAAAGATGAGAATTTCACGATGAAAGCTTTTTAAAATTGCATAAACTTGCCTTTGACCAGTCCCTTCAAAATTCCTCCATCCTATAATAATTCTACCCTTGATACATATATGGTGCGCTTCTTCGAGTCATTCAACATTATTCATACAAACATCGGTGCATACCAATATCCTCAAGATTGAAAGTGGTTTTATTTTTACAATCTTCTGAACTGATTCCATTCACCTATCATATCATTTACTTATCGAAGGGTCATGTTCACGTTTTCCTCACCATCGATGAGAAAAAAATTGTTCAATTCATCTATTTTTCTTAAAAGTTTTCCCTCAAGACGCCCCTTGATTCCTCATCAACTTCCTTCCCGTCACACATCGTCGATATTGACTTATTCTGGTCTCGGCCTCGGTGTACTATCTACTTCTGACGTCTCATTAATTCAACCTCTCACATCTAACTCAACTACCGGCGACATCTCGACATTCAATTCGACTCCGATCGAAGCGGATGAGAAATCGGGAGGCTTGCGATCGGTCGAGTTCACATTCCACTTGCCCAATTCCCAGACTTTCCAATTGCAATCAGAAATTGAAGAAGATGATGAATTTGAAAGCGCAGACGAGGGCGATGATGCCAATTGGTCCACGTCTCTCGAGTGCTGTCCTCTTCGGCCGAATTCTTCTTCACTTTCTTCCCTCGAGCATTTCCCCATCACCTTCAATCGAGCACATCCCATTTCAAAAATCCAAGTCTCTTTTCCTGGAAAGCCTTCTTCGGAGCAGGCCTCACTTCCTCAAGCTTTCACTGCCTTCTCTCGTCCTCCACGGTCGGAGCATCGCCCTTCAAACCCAATTCCCACAGCTGGTCTCAACAAGCTCACCCCAAATTCATCGCCAATTCACCCTAGTTTTGCGGGCAAACAGGACAAGGTTGTTGTACGCGAGCGCAAGACTTCTGATATCACTTCCATTCCTGTCTGCTTCGGTCCTACTCCGGAAACGGTTGCAAATCCCGTCACCTTCCAGCCGGTCAAGCGCAATCGATCTTTGAGTGCACCACCTAGTATATCGCGTCTCAATCGGCGTCCTCGTAGTAGTACCACCAACTCTTCCTCAACCAGGATGGCTTCCGGGCATCTGAGTCTAATAGCTGAAATAGACCTGCCAAATGAGAACCGTAATCCTTTCCGCGCTTGGCGTGGGCGTTCACTGTCATTGTTGGAGCAGATTGACAATCCTCGTCCTATGACAAGCATGTCTTGTATGCCTTTGGGCACGCATTCATCAATCCGATCTTCAGTCTCATCGCCGCATCCTGGCTCTGAACTTGGTACTTCTGATACAGACATCACCATTCAGCCAGGTGGCGAACAAACCATCCGAGTCGAAACACCAACACTTCGATCTTCGAACCACAACGCGTCAAATAACTCTAAGAGTACTCGTTCCAGTTTCCAGAAGCTTGTGCAGCTCTTCTCACCTACCAGCACTGGGCCTAACAAGACATCGCCGGACTCTGATCGCGGCAAACCTCGCAAATCGATGTCAGTTGATCGAAACGATCGACGGATAACCGAACCACCTGCCCCGGACCTGAAACCTAGGGTTATGGGTAATTCTGCTAATCCGCATCGAGCCGCCGCAACCAGTTGGCGTTCTACAGTCAGTGAGCGAGATTATCGGCGTGTCCTAAATGATCATGGTCCGGATGAAATTCGCCGTCAACAAATCATATGGGAACTTATCACCACTGAGATTGATTTCGTACAAGATCTTCGCAAGGTTTTGAAGCTTTTCGCCAGCCCTCTTAGACAAGTATCGAATGGAGCTTGGATCAGTGGAGTACCTAAATCAGTAGGCGAACTATTTGACGCTTTGAGTACGATCCTGGAATTACATGAGGAAATCGACTTGGCACTTGAAGGGTTATTACAAGTTACTCCTTCGCCTCCTATTCTTCAAGTTGCACCTACGCTTTTACCTCTGATACCACATCTTCGAATTTATGAAAGGTATTTGGTCAAATTTGAGTCTGTCACCAAACTTTTAGAAAAGTATCTTCTTACAACACCAGATCAAGATTCCCCGTTTTTTGGTGAATTTCTAAGAATTCAATCATTGAAGTTGGATGAATCAGATAAATTGAGCTTGCTGAGTTTCTTGTTGAAACCTGTACAACGCTTGATGAAATACCCGTTATTCTTTCGTGTGCGTGAAATTCTCATTCAAACCATTGTCAAAACCTCTCCATAACGTATAATATAGCTGACATTTCTCTTGATACTTTTGTGGATCGTGAACTACAATCATTAACCTACCTTTTCCGATGATGGGATAATCAGGACCTGAGCCAGCGAACTTCTGTAGTTCATCCAGATCACTTTGCCACATCCGAATTATCGAAAATCATCGAAAAGACCATTCGCCAAGTTGAACAGTCAAAAGTCAGAGAAGACGAGCAGCTCGCGCTGAAGATGATCGAGGTCAATCTACGAGGTCTCCCTCCTGGGTTCGTACTAGCAGCGCAAGGTCGTAGCTTATTGCGTGAAGGTGCTCTGGCTCGTTTGTCTCCTTTGGTCACCGCCGTGGCTATAGGTCGTCCCACAAGGAGAAGCCGAACTTCTTCTGAAGTACCTAAGATTTCGCCAGCCACTCGCCCGCTCTCTCAGACCTCAGATTTCAGTGAGAAAAGTAGGAGTACGAGGTCGATGCGGAGTGGTTGTAGTGCCTCAACTTCCTATAACACCCCTTCTGAGCACGAGGACGTTCGTGATATCACAGTGAATGACACATCTGAAATCGGCTTCCATCCTATCACCCATTGTAACCCTTCACCTCGTCCGCATCGCGCCCTCAGATCTCGAGCGTCAGAAGGCGCATCTTTATCAGCATCTTTCAAAAAAATTGCAATTAGCTCTCCATATATGTTTGTGATGAACGATTTGGTCATCTTTGCTGAACCTCTACGAAGGCTTAGGAAAGCACCTTTGTATCGCATTTTGGACTGTATTGGACTATCACGCGTACTCAGGGTCATTGACTTGTCTAAAGACGCATCAATGAGACTTGGTGAAGGTCAGTGATTTACATATTTGTATCAGTCAAAAATCAACAGTCGGACAAAATGATGATTCACCAAGATTCTGACGTGTACTTGTTTCTTGATTTCTAGATTTCACGCATCCAGCTCATCTTGAACTACACCTTGAACCAATTCAACTCTCGAAGGACGCACTAAACCCAAAAAAACAAGGATCAGGCCCAAAGTCAACCACGATTGTTCAAATCACACTCCCAGATCCAAGTTTGATTTCAGAATGGTTTCATGTATTAGAGTCATCAGTTTATTCATCTCCAGTCATATCACAAACCATAACAGATCGAACTTTGATTGAAAAGGGTCAGAAGAGAAAAACTTTAAATCGAGATACTAGAGTTCAATCTAGATCATTATTTAATTTATCAGCTGAATGGAACAAGAAAAATCGCTCTGGTCGGCATGCTTCACACCAAGGGATCACACCGCCTGTACCACCTTTACCATCAGTCCACTTTCATCCGAATGTATCAACTTAGTTCATTTTCGTCAACATATCTTCCTCACCATTTTTTGATTTTCTCTCCTAGGCCTTGAAGTTTCATCGACAATTCTTTTCTTTCTCTATCTCTATATCTGTCTATCATTACTAACCATTTTCAAATGATTTGTATCCCTTCATCTTCTCATCAAGAAACGATTATCTCTTGAAAATTCACTCGTTTATTCCACTCCGTCAAAGAAAATGCAAAAAGCATCAACTATGCAGCTAACTTAAAGTCAACACCATCATCAATAAGAAAAAAAATAAAGAAACACAAAAATTCAGCAAGAATAAGCACATCAATTATTTTTATACATCTCTCAACTTTCAAAAGAAGACAATTGAACAATAACCAAATTTGTAAAGTTGTAAATATGAAAAGTAGTTTGAAAGTTTTTAATACTGTTTAACTTTGTAAAATCATCTGATCTTTCTCTTTCATCCGTCATTCTCGTTTTCTTTTCTTTGATTGACGTACGTTATCAATTTCTTCTAAAGCCAAATTATTCATCGTATCTATTTTATTGTTTTTTCCTATTTGAAATTTTCTTTTTGTCCTGAATTTGATTTTTTTTAATATTCACATACACTCGTTATTCTGATTTGTTTTGTGTTTTCTTGTAAGCTCGTCACTCGTTTTGATCCTTTTTATGAGGATTCGATAAAAATCCTTATTGGGCTTCTTTTTGGGTTTTTGTTTGATTTTTTGTGTTCTTTGATAGCTTATCATTTATTTTCACATCTCTATATGTCAATATGGTCGCTAGTGCTGAGAAGCGTAAAAGATGGACCGGTATTTACAAAGAACCCCACTTCAAGAGAAGAATTTCTTGTGGTGTGGAAACCAAGTAAGAAAGAAGTTGAAATATTCAATTTATTGACAAGATATCCGGATTGCCACCAATGCCAGGAATCCAATATTACCCTTGGCTCAGATTGGATGAGTTTTGTAGCTTGGCTTCAATTTGTCAGAGAAAAACTTGCTGGTCTGACATTTATGATTTTTGACACTAGAGACTATACATAATTACAGTCAACTCTCGATGTAAGCATATCGACCGTCGACAGATTTGCTGTGCTTACATCGAGCGATGCATAATCACGAAGTAAGCATAATTCAAGTTTTGCCTTTTTTGGCTTGAATTATGCGTTTATGGTGAGAATGGGCCCCCGCACTGCCAGCATAGATGCCTCGGGTTGAGAAATCCGAGGCATCATCGGAGGCAAATCCTTGGACAGACCTTGTCCGAGGTTTTTGCCCGAGGTATTTTTTTGCCCTGAGAATTACATCGGATCAAAACCTCGGGAAGCTTCTGTCCGAGGTTTTGCATCCGAAGATACCTCGGATTTTGTAATCCGAGGATAAATATGTTGGCGGTGCCGGCGCGCAAATATAAGCCCCGCTTTGAGCGGGGCGGAGCCAGCCCGGCCCCGCCGAGTCAATATGGTACCGCCCAGCAGTCGGACTTACCACACAAATAATCACCATAAAAGCATATTTTTCCTCTCCTGTGAGATTTATGCTTGTATACACAGAGAAAAACTTGCGATAAGAGCATTTTTTTGCCAATCTTATGCTTTAATCATTATGCATCAAGCAATTTGATTTTGGCGGAGCACTCACGTATACCAAAAAAAATCGCGCGGCAACCCTTGCTTACATCGCGATATGCATACATGGGGCTTGCTTATATTGAGAGTTGACTGTATTGTTCATTTTCCTATAGTAAACATATCCGCTAACATTTTTGCCGGAGAAACATGTATTAATTTCACAATTCCTTCATCTACACACTGACATACAAAATGATACCTTGTATGAATGTGTTTTGTCCTAAAGTGATGTGAAGGATGTTGAGCTAGAGCTTCAGCGCCCTCATTATCAATGCACAACTTGAAATATGACTGTTCTTTTGAAATATTCAGCTCATGTAAAACTTAAAGTGATACTAGCCATCTTGCTTCTCTACAAGAATTGCTCATAGCCATATATTCCGCTTCAGTGCTTGATAAAGAAGCTGTCCTTTGCTCCTTAGATATCCACGAAATAGGACCAACTCCCAACATAAACACATACCCCGTTGTTGATCTTCTCTCATGATGATCCTCTGCCCAGTCTGCATCTGAATACACAACAGCTTTTAGATCAGTACCACCCAAATTCAACTTTAAATCCTTAGCTCTACACAAGTATCCTAATATCCTCAACACCAAATTCCAATGTTCCACCAATGGCTTCTTCAAAAATTGAGACAGTCTATTTACCACAAACGCTACATCCAGCCGGGTGAACTGGGCAACCCACAACAGGCCTTCAATCAGACTAGAGTATGGATCTTCTGAAAGTTGATCTTTGTTTGATGGAGGACCTGATGTTTTGAATGAATTGACATTTGGATTATATGAAAACTTGGCTTTATATTTCCCAAATTGCTTCTGAATATTTGTTCAGAGGACCATAGACAAATTGCAAGAGTTTGTTGGTTTTGATATTGTTCATGTCCAATCAAGGATTTTGACAATCTTGGTCACCTTGAAAACTCAGTCACATTTGGAATATATATTTCATTGTTAAATTCAGGATTTGGTCTTTACAATAGTCACCACTCTACTTTTCCTCGTTGAGCTTTCCTTCCATCTCCTTTGCCCTGTGTTGTATTTTGTTCTATGTTTCCAATGTAACCACTAATCCCAATGTGGTGAATGAGAGAAACAAAGCTGATGATATTGCTAAACCTCTGTATTGAAGATTTGTTCACTATAAAAAGACTTGTTGTTTGTGTGTTCATTTTATTTTTCTTCACTCAAACACTACTATGTCTTTTTGTCATTACCTTCCAACAGATGAACCTCATCTTCCACATCACTCTCTAGTGATTCCCAGCTCAGCGCTTTTACTAAATCACTAAACCATGATTCTTTCCAGATTACGTCCATCCCGTATTTTATCATTCATAACATATTCAATCTCATGATTTTTTATTCAGCAGAGCTTGGCACTGGACAGATTGAAGATACATAAGATACATCACATTCAACTTGCCCTTCTTTCAGATTAGAGTTGTGAGCTCCATAAAAGCTTCAACATTGTTTCTTTTCTTTGTTTGTTAACAAATGGTTGTTATCAACATACAAGAAACAGTGTAGAAAGTTTCACACAACAGATGGCTGCTCGAGCTGTGATTTGTTTCTTAGTCTTTGAGAGCCTACATCTTTGAGAATTGTTATGAAGTGTAGTAATCATGAGAGTCCTTGCTGAATCCAATTTTCTTGAGTAAACCCATCTTTATTGATTGGGCCAATGAGGCAATGGTGAAGTAAAGGTGGGTGATGGACCAACAGATTGGATGTGCCACAGCTGACAGCACCCTAATTTGTCTTTCTCTCTGCTGCATTGTGAGTGCTGTGGTGAAATTCTGGGTCTAATTCTGTTTTATTTTTTCTCAATTGGGCCAAGATTTTTAGCAAAATTAATACATGCATATCAATCAATTTGAGCATCATGTTTGTCCCATCTTACATCAAAATTTGCCTCAACACAGAGAACTTCAGAAAATCCAATTTCCATGTATAATCAGCAATTACGTATAGAGATATTACCCATATTAGACAAAGGCTGCAGGAGACAAAAATGTGGAGAAACATATTGTGGAAAATAATACATATTGATAATGTCAGCTCGAGACTCTAAACAGGCTATGACTGGTGAAGTTCCTGAGTTGAATGATGTTTACAAAATGTATTTCTTCAAGTTTTTGAAAAGGTTTGAGAGGAATTATTTTTCAAGGTCTTTGTAAACTGAAAGGTTTTTGAGATACAAACTATAATTGTTACTTATAGTTGTCTGCGGTGCGGGATAAAAAGACCACTGCCAGTTTATTAGCAAGTGCAATCACTTGATAATCTGCCTAGGTGAGTTTGTACGGACATATAATGATCCTAGGTGACGCTTTAGCGTTAGTTGATAAAACAGGCTTTATCAAAATAGTTTTAATAGAGGAACTTTAGTAAAATAACTGAGTAGTAAACAATCTTTAACGTCCTGAAGATAAAATTGAGATAGAAGAAGGAAAAGTATCTGAAACAATAAAGAGATAAGTTGGAGTACAAAAGAACAAATCTAAATGAGATTGTCTAAAGTAAGACAAGATTTCTTTTGAAAAGATATAAGGCTATTGAGTTTAGTGATCTTTCTAACAGAAAAGGATTTCTAAAGGTGAGTTTGTTAATTGGTAAAAAGATGCAAAAATCCCTTCTTTGTTTGCAAATCGTGGTCAGTATTTAAACCAATCTAATCTTGTTGATAGTCCTATCAGGATCGAGTAGTTGGTTAATGAAAAGGAAGGGTGTGACTTTCCCTTGATAGGAATTTCATTCTAAACCAGTCCCTGATATGTCACAGGGCTGGTGATTCATCTGGATATTGCCACACTTGGTCAGGGTTCTAATGAATGTTTTGTTACTGCCTAGTTTAGTTATTCTTCTAGCTAACAACCTAGAGAGAAAGGGTTTTTCACTGTACTTGACTTACATTGGTTTTGATTATGTCATTTGGTTTTAGATTAATTTTTTACTTCTAACTCAGTATTTGCTATGGTGTATTTTTGTGTTCCACTCTTGAGACTAGAGTGTAAGAGGTGTAACCCATTCCTCAGTTAGTTATGCGTTATGTTCATGCTTGTGAGAACTGTTGTTCAGAGAGTTGCCTCTCATGTCTCTTGAGGATCATCTATCCTTGAGTTAATTCTATAGAATTAACCCAAAGCCCGGAACATATCTTTCTTATGTATTATTAGTCAGATCATGTTTGTATGCGGTAGCGGCGGAGCCCGGCCGTCTCTGGTTGGTTCTGCCAAACCAATTGGTTTGTCGGAACCAACAAGACTCTCCTAGCTGGGCTCCCACCGTTGGGTCGGCGGGCGGGTCTAATTTTTGAGTATTACTGTACTCTTACCTATTACCACTTCCCTTTGAATTTCTAGGGTGGGTGGTGGGTTTTGAAATTATGGAAATATGAACTGTTGAACGCTGCACAACTTAGTGCCTTTGAGGATGTGACTTTAGCTTGAAGCGGGTGAGAAAGTGGTGATGAAATTTTCTAACATAAAATTTCTCACTGGGAACTGTACCAGCTTCCCCGTGGGACGTTATGTGCAGTCTCTTATGTTTCTCACTTAACCACTCACTAAGTCTCCATGGGCCTTGGAACCAAACGTGCCTTATTGGTTCCATCAATGATTATTTTTGTATAGGTTTTTTAGTTATTGATAAGTAATGAAAGTGATGGAGTATTTTGTCAATACACTAGAGGGTTCTTGCTCTGCAACTTTTATCCATGGTTTTTGTTCAAACCTCAATGACTCAGTAACTTTACAGTAGCATGCATAAAGGATGAAAAATCCTCAAGACAAAATTGGTCTACTGGTCTGTGCGCTCTGCAAAGTTGGGAAATTTTGGACCACAAAATATTGCCAAACTTTTGATATCCATAGCCATCAACTATGGAATCTTTGCATGCAGTCCTCACAGATACCCCCTCCAAACTATTATACTGTCAATACAGTTCACATCCTCACATATCCCCTGATATACTCCAAACCACTATTTATATCCCCAGCACCTATCCTTGCCCCGCTAACCTTGATTGATCCGGGCAAAAATACAACTCCAATTCAGTCACCAACTCCTTCCAAGCAACCCTTCCGGCCATTCATCTTGACCACAATCTGGCCTTTCACCTTATGAAGCATAAGTATGGGGCATGCACTGTTAAGGTAACAGTGCAATGCTTTCTAGTGTGCAACACGATGTGTTTTACAAATACACTACGTGTATGCCATACAAGTTGTATGGGGTGTGGGGGAGAGTTTTCTTTGCTGTTCTCTTGAGAATCTGCCGCCACCAAAACAAGCCATCTAAGGGACCGACAAAGAAAGTCTGACATGTAAGGCAAAAGCCTAAGCCTAGGAGAATGCACCAGGGGGGGCTTAGCAATACACCCTATTGTGCTTTGGCCTAGAAAATACACAAAGGCAAAAGCATAAAAAACGTAGGGATCAAGGGAAGGGAAAAGAAACAACATTGTCAATGCTAGAAGGAAAAGAGGTACGGAGAGAGGTATCCTAGGAGCAGATATGGGAGTCAGATTCTATTGATGTGGGAAGATTATCAATACCACCATCTCTTACTCAATATATAGATTGTAACTCCAGGTCCCAACTGTGCTTGATTAGGTGATCAAGAGATCACCTCTTGAAATTCACCATGTGCCTGGATTAGTAGCCTTCCGGCTATATAATACAACCACTACTGATCTGTATTGGGCGCTTGGGACCCTACCCCAAGCTCTAACTGACCCAGTACAGACATGGACAGGAGCAACCTCCCACATGCCTTGTACAGGTACGAGATATGAAAAATCTCCACTGTGTTAGGTGAGTGGGAATTTGGTAATATGTTTTTCCCACTTGAAGATTGCCAAGTTATAACTCTCCTTCTATTTCCACAAAGAATTCAATTGGGCTACCTTTTCAAGATTGTACCAAGACATTTTGAACTTGTTCTTGTTAACAAACGAGTTCATGGACCGTAATTCATCATTGGGACCAAGGAAGGCAGTTCATTAATTATGACCCATTTGAAGCTGTTCCCGTTTGTGACAACCCCCATTGGACTGTTTCTAAGTGTGGGAAAGAAAAATGCTAGAGAACCTGTCATATAATCTGCAAAGCCCAAAGTGAACCTCCCCACACAATATGAGTTATTCATTTTGTGCTTAGCCATTGTTTGGGGAAAAAACTTATTGAGCCAAGATACCCAGTCTTTTCCCATCCGCATATTCAAGCATTTGAATATTGCTCTCATTCTGTGACATCTGCAATAAAGTCTTGGAGTGATCAAAGGCAAGCATGCATCAGGTTTTAATCATTTTTATTTGCATACTCTGCCTGGATTTGGCATGCCATGCTCGAAGAAAGAAATACTCTCCTAATATCTCTGCCTCTGTTTGGAGTCAACTTCATAATGTTGAGTCAGCGCACGCATACTTTACAACTGATAAGCAGATCGATTTGGGGGAAGTACAATGCTACATTTCAGATATACAGAAGCCCTGAGAGGTCCAAATGGTTATCCATACAACAAAGTTTCCCTGCAATTACAGCTTGCTCCTGCAAAGCGTTGATGGTGAATCACAAAAGACACAGGTAGAAAAACAAAGTCTAAGATTAGTCAAGAGACAAGACTTTCCTTTAATCTCCAAAGGTCAATATTGGGACAATAACTTGTTAAAAGAACCCTTCCTCTGGCTATGAAACACGCACATTGTGCCTGGTAGTGTTCTCTCACCGTCTATAGCCACGCGGCGGGTATCCTCGAGGTGGCTCGTCATAAAAGGAAGGTTCTGGTCGAGCGGCGGGGCGGGCTCGGCTACGGGGAGGTGACGCGTCTTCCCGACCTCCGTAATCTCGTTCACTACCTCCCCTCTGACTTCGAGGAGCACTATAATCATCATGATCTCCGCCATAGTCATCGGAGTCAACCCGACGTTCGCGAGGTCTAGCTCGAGATGTTTGAGAGGATGGTGGTGTGATTGGGTTTCTAGCAAGTCGATTCCGTCCAACAGGTGCTGGAGTTTCAAATTGTTCATCTCTTCCATACTTTCGACGATTAGGTGGAGGACTAGGTCCAGAAGCATATCCAGAGTCAAATGAAGTATTATTTCTAGGTGATTTTGGATAGCCACGTTGATGACGCTGATGAGCTGGCTCAGGGACCGAATTGTAGATATCGGCAAGTGCTCCAGGTCTAGGTCTATCTTCTCCACGTGGGGCACGAGGTGTTCCTCTAGGCTCGCTTTCTGGATTATTTGCCAGTCTCCTTGCTGAATCTGCAAAATTGATTTCTTCTTTGGAGAAAAGCCAGGTAGGCAAGTCTCTCGCTGATTCCGCATTATTGGCATAGTATCTATAGAGTCAATATCAAATCAGAACATTGAGCTTGATTTTCAAAGTGTGAGGCATGGGGTTGATGAGAAGTTCGAGGGATCCTTACTCTTTCATGATCCTGATCAAATGACTATCACCATCATAATCGGTAGCGTCACTTTCGTAGCCTTCGTCTACCCCGACAATCCTTTTCTGGATTGTTGTTGTTACTGTGGCGAGCTTGGCCCATATAGTATCTGAAAGGTTGACAGGATGTCAATAACTTTGATAAAAACTAAAGAACAAATCCAGATTGACCTACTTGACTGATCATCCGGCTGAGCTTCGGGGGTTTCCGCAGATTTTTGAGCCTGTTGCTTTTCTTCACCCCATACCGTCTTTTTAAGCGACTCCCAACCCCATTTAGATGGATTAGTCTCAGGCGCCTCTACTTCAGGCTCCTCTGTAGGCTGATCATAATCGTCATAATCGTCGTATTCTGGCTTCACGCGACGGCTTGGTGGTGGTGGATTTCTTCGAGGACTAGGGAAATCTGGTCTTTCCGGACGAAGACTAGGCGGAGGTCTCCGTCTATCGCCATAGTCTGAGGCTGCGTATTCTTCATCGCGACTTCTTCCAACTCTTCTCGATGGTGTGCCGTATCCTGCTTCGGATCTAGCGGGCCTTGCATCAGGTCTAGCATATCCTGCGTCGGGTCTGATAGGGCGTTCCACAGGTCTGACCGGCCGCCCGATAGGCCTTCGTGGCGGGGGATCACCAGCTGCACTTCTTGCATAATTAGGAGTCGGTTCACCTCGACTTGAGCCACCACCTCTATAAGGTCTTGGAGGAGCACGTTGGGAGGGATAAGCGTATGGGTCACTATCCACAGCGGATCGGCCTCGGGAGGAGTAGTCTGAGTAAGCCATCTGTGAAATATAGGTGGGAGGGCGATGAAGGATCGAATATTCGAGATCCCAGAGCTCAAGGATATGAAGTCTTTGATTGCTGATAGAGTTGAAGTGTACGCCAGAGATACCTTGGTAGAGGGACCTTAGGCGAGCAAGAATCCCACCCAACTGGTGACTTTACCAAGAAGTCGCAGTGATCTAGACAAGGAGAGCGCGCAAAGATCTCCTATGTGCGAAACTTGCGGCTCGAAGGGAGAAAGTGATTGACCACGGGGTTTCTGATTGAGTTGGTGATAATTGGTATGATGCTGCAGATTGTTTCAGATGTTTGGGAAGGACAGAATAAGCTTGCGTTCAAAATTTGACTGAAAGGGAGAGAAGTTGAAGAAAGTTTGTAAGAACAGATGATAGAGGCTAATCAACTGACCAGAAGAGCGTTGGTAGTGGTGGTATCGAGGCTTAAATAACTGCCCACGAGGGTTGAGGGTCTTGAGCAAGGCTCGCTTCAGCGGCCTTGGTTACTGATAAAAGACAGGTTGAGTCAGATTTCGAAGTCGATTCGGTCTTTTCGATTGCGAACAAGCTAAGCTCTGGGCTATAGTGTGAGTGAAGTAGAATAATGAATAGGTTGATCAACTGGTCTTTGGCACAAAATCGGATATTGGTCCAACTCTGATAGATAGCCTCTGTGGATTGATGATATATTTACGGGCTTTAAGTTTATTCGAAGGCTAGATCAATTCTATGTGACGTCTTTGATGAGACCTGAGTTGATTGAATATAATTTATTGAAATAGTAAGAAGATCTGCTGGCCAGCCATGAGGGTGAATACGGAATGATGATGGGCGGATGTTTTTGAGAGACTGTCGATCCAACAAGTCGAAAGTATTGGCTGAGCGACAGAGTATCTTATCGCAGTTCAACATATATTTCCTCTCATCGTCTGGTCCACTTCATGATTCACAAGTTATGTCCAACTATTCAGCCGAGTAACTCTAGCCGACAGTCTGTTGCCAACCGGCCGGGTCCTTCACTGAGTAGACCAAACGACTGAATCAAATCGGTTGCTATAGGTTGCTATGCCTTGGTCAACTCATGCCCACCTGAGTATTCCTTGCGATCAGCGACTTGGCAAACACCTTCACACGTTTTCGGAAGCCATGAGCGCAACCATCATCGGTGTCTCTTCACTTTTCGCTGCATCACATACATCTGCTCACAACTCCTGCACCAGAGCTGAAGAAGCCGGTTTGAAACAGATCCCAATTCGTCAAACGAAAGAGATCTTGGAACTTTTCTCCACTGTGTTTAATCGGAACTGAAGCATGAACACTTCGACAGAAACGATGAATCTGCGAAATTCCTGCGAAAGAAGCAGATTACAATGTAGCATAACTTTTCAAGGCCGTACGTTCGAGTTCAAAGTGCACAAATTCAACCGTAAAATAGATATGAGTTGAGGCTGATTGTAATTGAAAGTTGTGACAACAAAACGCTGAGGTCACTTCATCCAGCCAGCTCTTTTAGCCGCATCCTGTGCTCAGCAATGGACTCAGCGATCCAACCAAACCAACTCGGAAACTGTGTTGAGTGACATCTGAAAGTGCTTCCCAGGTCAGCCCTCAAGATAGAGTGCGACGCAATACACGAGACCTGAAGTTCAGATGACAGTCTTTTAAGAGGTTGACCACTCCACGACTCAAAAAACAATCGAGTAAAGCTGCCAACCGGACTCGGGAAATGATTTAATCAAACTCTGCTCCCAATCGCATTGCAGAGTCGACCATCATTCGAGTCAGAAGAAAAAAAGAAACATGCTCCTGCTGGATATGTTTTCTTTTTCCAACGCGCATGTTGCATTTCTTCCTTTCCAGTATCGATCATATATTTGCGTATAAGAACTTTTTTCATCTCCAATTTGGTCCACATATCAAGATCTGAATATTAAAATGGGAAGTCATTTTGTTGAGGGTAATGCGCACGTCTAGCATATGAGAAAGAAGTGAGGACACGAATTTATAGAACTTGTTATGCACACCACAACGCGCGCGTCAGTCGTGTCATTTACCTTATAAAACGTTGATGAAATAAAGACCACACTTTCTTTCAAACTTGAACGACCTCTCGCAACAGTGTTTTCAGAATAAGACATCTCCATAACCATCCCTTCTCTTCAAAAGCCTTATTTCATTACAAGTATCAATTGCATCCCTCCCTGTTTTGAATATGTCGCAAGAAGGGAGTGAAAAGCAGATGCCAACTCAAGATGATCAACCATTTGAAGAGAAACAAACGAGAACCTTTGAAGCACCAATTCCATGGAGGAGCCCTTCAATGATCGAATCCGACATGTAAGTCAACTTGTCTCTAAATTTTCACCTTGATTTCTCCCAGAAGAAGAATGATTCTAAGACTCAAATACTCTATCTTTGCATATACGTCAAGTTCATTGGATTCACCAATGATGACCACCAACACTGAATCGTTAATGATCGGTTCTTCAACATTCACAGATGAAACTGGACGTAGTCCAGAACTTATACCATGGATTCCTATTTCACCTTTCTTATCTGAAGTTATTGGTCTTCCAAAAAGACCGACAACTCAACCTCCAGAACCAGTATTAAAATCAGCGTTTCAATTTCAAAGGGTTGTTAATGATCGACCAATCTCACCATCTAGTAACAAACGAATCTTAACTATGAATCAAACTTCTACTTCGTTTCCTCTTACACCTAAACTTGAATTGAACGGGCATCAATTCTTCAAAGAAGCTTCTTTTAAGGAACGTTTAACTTATAGAGTCAAACGTAAAGTTAGAGCAAGCTTTGAATTGATAATTGAAATAATCAAATCATTTACGATTTCAAGTCTTGATCAAAAACTTCAATTTATAAAACCAAGTAGAAGATCACGTACAAGAACTCAAAAATTATTGACTTTTATTTTATTAATCATCAGTTTGACTACTTTAATTAAATGGGCTTTTGGACTCTTCCAACCTGGAATTGATTTTCGACAAAATCTCAATTTCAAGCAGCCTCAACTTGCTAAGAAATCATCTTTACTTGGTTTCGGGAGTGACGTATTGATAACTGATTCAAAGCCTCATCCGATTGAAAAATTAATGGATCAAGCGGGTCAGTCTTGGAAAGATAAAGTTGACCGACAGAGCACTACACTGACCATGGCTATAGCTCAATATCGCGAACGGTATGTATGATTTATGGATTCACATAAATGATGATTTAGTCTGATATTTTTTTCTTTTAGATATCAAATGGAACCACCAAGTGGTTTTGATAAATGGTTTCACTATGCGCAAGGTAACCATCTTCATATTTGAAAAGAAATCTGGAATAATCTCGTATATTGAATTACTTTGATTCGGACTTGTTTATATAGACCGCAATCACATTCTGATCGACGAATACGATGCTTTGATGAAACAACTAGCACCCTTCAGAAACCTGACCAAATTTCAATTGCAATCAAGAACAAATTTGCTGGGCACTCGAAGGGGATTTGGTCTAGTTCAGATTGCAGATGGACAAGTCGAAGCAGATTTAAGTGAATTACCTATCAGATCACTATACACGAATCTAGATCATCAGAATCCTCACTTTGAATACGAGAATGAAGAAATACTTCAACGTGCATTGCAACTTGAAAGATCTAATGAAGAAGGTGACAATGATGATGATGAAGCTTTAGGTGAGAGCGAAGAACTTAAGGAAGAAACAAAGACTCAAACTTGGGCGTTTGCTCAAGTGATGAAAAAAGTCATCAGTCTTGATCCAAAGCTAAGATTGAGCGAGATGAAGTTTGCAATAAATGAAGCTTCAGAGCCTAGAATTGTACTTCCATGGCAGTTGAATGTTGAAGATGAAAATCTCGAAGGTAAGTCACGATTCTTACTCAATTCTTACTACACCTCAGTAAGCCAAAAACATTTCAAATGTCTGACCACCGTCTGTGTTGACGGGGCGCGAAAGACGTATCATCCCTTGATCACGCCTTATCTGATTGGGAAGATGTCAGTGATCCTGAATACGGTGAAGTATGGGACGAATTCAGAAAGAGTTGTCCACCCCAATCGGAAGCTCGTAGACTGTTTCTTCGTGCGGAAGCTCAACCAAAGCACCCTTGGAATCAAGTTCCTCGGTCTACTCGACTTCGTCATCATGCTAATCTCCATTCATCAGCCAAGAATTTGAATGCTCAGCAAATTAATGATGGATCTCATATGACTTTGAACCGAACAACAATCAATACCGATCGCCATACTCGATTTGTCAATGATTCGCTCATTCCTATTCAAGAGATCTATTGTACACAGACCAAGAGAAATGTCGAACAGGGCCTCTTCTTTAGCGATACTCGAAAACTCACTGGTCTATTTCCAGTCTTCTCTGCGTCCACTTCTCAAGGTTTTGGTGATATTGTCATCCCAAGTTGTGAGTGTTTCAAATTTGTGAAATTGAAAAATCTTTCAAATTATCAATTTATTGAATTTCTCCCCTTCGTTGCCTTCATGGAAATTATAGATATTTATACACAAGACCCTTATCGAAGTAGAAAATATGTGCATGAACCTGTTCACAAGGTCTCTGATGAAGAATTTGAAGGGAGTAGCCCAATTCGGTTGAATGATGTTGCTCAGTGGATGGATTGGCAAGTAGATTGGGCTTCAAGGTCTGACAAAATTCATTGGAGAGGCTTACCGACCGACGGAGGTAGCACTCCATCTGCCTATCAGCCCAGCTTCAGGTGAGTAGCTTTTTTCAAGTTGATCAAAGCTGGAATGCTTTAGCTGAAGTCAACTCCGAGGTCAGTCGACACAGGGTCGTAAAAAAGTTTGGCACATGGGTATCAAAACAAAGCGAAAGAGTAACCTGGATGATACGCCCAAAACATCCAGTACTACATCGACTTTTAAACTTCTTTTTCATAAAAGGAGTTATCACTGGACAAATGAAAATGGAATCGATCGTCGAACGTGGTTTGTTAAACAAGGAGATTTTGGACGTTGGTTTCATCTCTGAAGAAGGATGTGGGGTTGAGAAGGCTTGTGAGGAGTTGGCTAAAGGAGATTACCAGTTCTCGATCTGGCAGCCATTTGCGGCTGTGAAATATTTCAAGATGGTACTTGATCTTGATGGTAAATTTGCTATTGAGAAGATATATAATGTAGACATTCACTTCAAGTTGACTGATGAGCTCATGAATCACTTGCTTATTTAGGTATCGGACACTCAACGCGCTTCTTGGATTTGATGGCCTCCGGTACGGCCGTAATGAAGAATACGATTTATCGCGAATATCATACAGATTGGGTCAGTGACTTGCTTTCATTTCTATGTGGAAGTTCAATCACTGACAGTCTTTTAAACTGATAGCTCGTGCCATGGGTGCATTATATTCCACTGAGCCTCGAATCTCACGAGCTTTATGATATCTGGTCATATTTCTTGGGATCTGAATCAATCCTGACCAAATCAGTAAACAAAGGGAATCGAACTCAAGAACAAGATCATAGTACTCCATTGTTGTCTATGGGTATTGAGGTTTTCAATCAAGACCATAAACTGAAGGAGATAGCTGAAGCTGGATTCAAATGGTCAAAATCGCTAGGGAGAGAGGTCGATTGGGAGATATACTGTTATCGGGTGAGTTATATCACCTTGATTGGTGAGATGTCACATCACAATAACTGTGTGGCTTACATTGGGTTGGATACTTTAATAGCTGATGTTGGAATGGAATCGAATCTGGAATAAGAATGATGATGAGATGATGGACTGAATGGTAAACAAATGAAGACATTGTAGTAGTCCAAATTTTTGTATTTTTGATAATCAGTCTGCTAAGAAGTCAATCAGTTATAACCCTCAAGTTACTTTGTTGCCAAAAAAAAATGAACAGTTGAAGGGGGCACAACTCTCAATTCATTTTATAAAATGGAGTTTGCCATCTAAAAGCCTGATTGTGTTCTGTGTAGCGTTGATCTTTTCAATAGATGCGACAAATCGGTCGACACAGGCCAACGCACATCTGAGTGCCCAAACTGCGATGCCTCCGCAAGTCACAGAAATATTACTGAGACCTAATTGTCTTCTGAGTGTAGTCTTGGTGAAAATCCCGAGAGTAATCACAGGTCTAGTGTTTGAAAGAGGTCGATGACTACATTGTGTTGTACTGTCGTAGGACATCTTAGTCATAAATTGAACACGTTCACAACCTGCAATCCCGACCCCGTAACTCAGCAAACTGATGCATACAATGAATAAGGCATTCCTGCTGCATGTTCAAGGCATATTGGGAAAGAGCGATAATATCATTCGTCACAGCTCCAGACTGCCAAATCGGAAGATAAGAAACCAGACCAAAGGCTACAGGTCGCGTCACTATCTTTCTGACAGACGTTCCTGAAGGCTTGATACCACCCATTCGAAGTAGGAAAAGCAATCCGTACGTCTACTTATGTTGGCAGTGATAAAGAGGATAACGTTTTGGGCACGTTATCGAGGCATTCGACGGATACACCCGGTTGGCCGAACATTGTTCATGTATGTGAAGAAGAACAATTCGACTAGCAATTATAAGGTTTCAAGAACTTCCAGTACGTTGATATTGGTACAACATTGTATTATAGATGCATGAATTTGTTGATAAGTAGAAGTCATACAAATTATGCTACTTGATCAACTATTTCGCTCTTCTTAATTTCTTTTCCAGTTTTAGCTATTTTTTCTTTGACAACTTCAAATGTTGCAGGGGCGATTGCAGAAACCAGTACAGTTTGGGATTCAAGGGAAATTTCAACGTTGGTGACGCCTGTACAAAAAGTTGGACAAAAAGATGAGATTTTTGGCTTAGAAATGGCTATGTAAAGCGAAATGAGTTTGGACATCTGACCTTCTTGTTTTTTCAAAGCTCTTTCGACTGCACCTGAACAGCCGGAGCAGGACATGGCGACTTCGAATTTAAATTGAGATGGCTGATAGCGAGAGGAAATCCAAATCATAAGTTTGTAAACACATCAATGCAAATCGCATGTCCCAACGACATGCGGATATCAATGAATTATTTACCTGTTCAGACATGACACGAGACGAAAGCTTCCACGAGATGACTTATGCTTGATTGGTGGTTCAGTGAAAGTTCAAGGTTAACGTTGCTGGGGGAAAGGCGAAGTGTCAAAATGAGGAATTGATCAGGCTGTGGCAATTTTAAGAGATGGTGACGTACAGCCATTCCGATATTGCTTGTCGCTCCGTTTTGAAAAAGAAAAGTTGAAACCTAAGTTTTTACTCGATAAAACTTCAAACTCAGCTGTAATTCAAGGCAATACAGCCAAACTTCAGGTTTTAACCGGTTAAAACTTAGGTTTCGAGCTCACAAACTTTTTCTTTTCAAAAAGGTGCGACAAGCAATATCGGAATGGCTGTATGTGTATCCGGGCGTTTCCATGAGCGCGTCAAGTCCGGTTGTTGGCATGTCACGAGGCTGTTCCGATAGCTAACATGGGATAGGGCTGTGACTCGGACTCGGACCCGGCCCTACCCGACGGCTTTCACAAAGCTGACGGTACGAGAACCCTGACAGTACTGTCAGGCCTTTCAGCCACCTGTCCCTCAGTCATGAAAGCCAGCACAGATCTTTCACCTGTTCTTTCAGCCACACCACTCATGTGGTGGGTGGGGCACAAAAAGCGCGCCTTTTGGGCGCGCCCAGGCGCAGGCGTGAGGGCACTCCCTTTGAGCAAGTACTGTTAGTCTTGGGCTTTCTCACCGTTTTCTCACACCCCACCACCTCCAATCATGCCCAAGGACAAGACCAAGACATCAACTGAGTGGGTCCAACCAACTGCAAGCTTTGGAAAACAATGGACAGGTATCCTTATGTTGAAAAATCAACATGGCACCAAAAACCGGAGGCTTGCTCAATGTCAGTTGTCAGGAAGGGCATACACGGACATAGCCGTATATCTCCTTCCTCACAATCAAACCTTATTACATACATATAACTACATGTAATTCAACATTCACACGTAGTAATAAGCTGAAAGAACTCGTAACAAATGATTACATGAAGTTACAAATATGTAATCATCAATTACACGAGTAATACACATATTACTTTATTTCTACTATTCTTTTTCACTTATCACTTTCTCTTAAACGTCAATTCAGTTGATATTTTTCTCTATTTTCATGTACTCAAAAGATGGTCAATATTCAATAAACAAAATACTCACGGATCAGTTTGGAAGATGATCCTAAAGTGATTTGTTTTATAATAATCTTTTTAATAACCACGTGTAGACCTAGTTCAAGCAACTAAGTTGGATTGGGAACCCAATTTAGTAGCTGTTCATCTAAAACTGATCTTCTTGGCATGTGATGGCCGCCAAGAAGGGAGGTCTAGGGCTCTCGTGCTAAAAGGAAGAGTTGTAATAGAATGAATTACAAGGGTGAATCAGGGATCATGGGAATTAAAGATCAGCAATACCAAAAAGTAGATCATTACACGCGCAGATCTTGTTGTAATGATCATATGTGATCATCTACAGATCCTTGATCAGTTGTTAACAGGAGATGTTCACATTAGCCCCCTTGCTTGTATTTTCTTATGTTGCTGTGCACTTTCTGCTTGTTCTGACGGGTAGATAAACCCTTGTCTTTGTCTTATTTCTTTTGTTCCTCATCCTTTACAATAACCAATCAAGTTTACCAAGCTTTATAAACCAATCAATCCGTCCATAACAACCTCCAAAAGCCCTTACAAGTCCCTTATAAGCCCTTTTAGTGTTAGTATCCATGGATCTGGTTTTATTCTGCTATTTACCTCTTGATTACTATTGTCAACTGCTGTCCTACATATGTAAATCATATGTAATTAACCAGTAACAGTTATATATCAACTATTAAACGGTTATTTCCTTGCTCAATAAGCTTCCTTATTGACATCAGTATTGTGAAGCCGCAATGAATTGTAAGCCAAGTAGCTTAGCCAATGATATAACAAAAAAATGCTCTGGTGTGTCAATCTCATAGAAGTCAGAGTACAAATTGATGATTGCCAAGATCAATGAGAAAAGAGCTGAACCAATCAATAAAGTCAATTCATCAACCACCTCAACAGCGTCCAACCTTCCCCTTGTTCCAATATTAAAACTTGTCCGCAATTTCAGTATGCTTCATTGATTTTCAGAACACCCACCATCAAAGCTGGCTGAAATTGAGGAAGAGCTCCTCAAAACTTTAATTTTGGGAAGAGTAGTATTCAGATTCCTTCACAATAGATACTTTATAAATTTTTAGAAAATGGTGTCTGTTGTTTCATCCAAGCCCACAATTGATTTTGCATGATGGAGACAGTCTTCCCAATATTACATGCAAACACGAGATGGTAACCAAGGAAAGTTTGAACAGTCAAATCTCACCATCTCACTTGATGGCTGGACTAATATATCTAAAAAAGCATCTACACTGTTCTGGTTTTAAGATACACTCAAGTTATACCCTTTATTGTTGTTCTTCATATAAAGCACATGAAACAAATTTTTCTTCTGATGAAGGGCTGATTGGAGTGACCTGTTACTGCTCTAATAAGTTTATAATGATAAAAATGATTAAAGCTGTGTAAGAAATGAAGAAGAAAGGAGACAGAAGTTTGCACAAAGCACACAAGTTTATATACAAACAATGGAGTGGTAAAAAGCTCTTAAAAACCCTCTTTACCATCTAAAAAACCAAAAGATGACTAAAATGTTGGTAAAAAGCTATGATCTAATGATTCAACCACTATCCAAACTCCTAAATTTTGCCACCAGTAGCGCATTAATCCATTATGATTATTACTGTGATGTAATGTGATCTTCTATTTATCATCTGATAAGATTTATTACTAATTTGGCCAGTAAAACATGACTAATCCCTATTTTTATGATCAAATGCTGTGTATATGCTGTGTTTCGGATGTTCTAGAATGAATATTGATTTTATCTTATGATTATTCAGTGTTTCAATGATGTAATTGCTTGTTATTAATGATTTGTGATCTTGTTGATCTGTAATCAAATCCTTTGATTCGTTATACCTTTTGTCTTGCACCTCTGTTACTAATGGTTTAAAGGTTGTACATTATGAATTTAATGATTCTTTGTCGAATGAAATATTACTCATCATGTTCTGACATCATTTGACACATGTAATCAGCTGAAAACCTTCATTTTTGACTATTTTCACCTATTTTCACCACTTTACACACCTTGTATAAGCTTTTCTTTTCTTCTGTGACATTAAACAGCAATCTCCAACCGTGAAGATCCTTTCAAACACTCTTGGCACCCTTAAATATTACTAATACCACTGTTACATATGTAAAACTACCTGTAAACCCTTGTTTACCAACTTTGACTTCTTCCCATTTCCTTGGTAACTTCTATTTTCTCTTATCAACCATCAAGATTAAAGTTGTTACTGACTAATATAGTGCTCCTATTTATTATTATAACCCTGCTAAACCCATAAACCTGATAATACTACCTGAAAAACCATTTCTCAACCTGTATACCTATATTTTCAAGTTTTTCTTATGTTTTTTCTTTCTTTTCTTTTTTTAATTTATTTGTGAATAGTTTATACTTATCTTATTAAGTTGGTTTAAATGATAAAATGATGTAGATATTCAAATATATGTAATATAATTGATGTAATTTAAAATTTGATTTTTTTTATTTCATGATTGGTCTCATAGATTGATTACCACACCGTACGGTTGTTGGGCAAGATCCAGAAAGTCCCCAACACCAAGCCTGCTCTGTCGGTTTGGAAGCCAAGCTGAGGTATCAAGATCCCTGATTTTCCTTGGAGAACCAAGTGCTGCAGGCAGACTATAAACATATAATTTTTTTAATCAAGTAAGGGAAGAGCCAATGGATACAGTAAGTAAATACAAAAATTGCATTTCAAGAGTGAGTAGAGGAAGTGAGGCCAATAAAAAAAGAATTTATCAATTGTTGAAAAATTTGGGTACAGGGGAAAAATGATTGAATATAGCAGATTGTAACCCAGAAATGCCTTGGCCAAATTGGAAACTTGCGCGGATTCAGCAGAAAACCGGAAAATCAGTGGGACAACAATTTTTCAGTGACGGGGGTTGGGCTAGGGGTCTGGGTATAAATCATTGCAAGGGCAGAGCCGGCTCGGAAGCTGGCCTTTGTTTTTGCTTTTTGCTTGAGGGGTTGGTCTGGGTGGTCTCTGTGCCCGACAGGCTGGGGCTCATCCTGACCTTTAAACCATGTGACCCACTGGTGCAACAGGCCCTGTGTTATTGTTCATCTGTCTTTGCTACAGATGGCCAGCTTGGCTGTGAGGATAGCAAATCAAATGAGGTTCCACACATGAAGTGTTGGATTGAGCTCTGGAAAACCCTGGACAAGGATATCCACAAATTCAGAGAGGAGTATGATGAGAGTGACGATTTGAAAATTGGGTGAGAAAAAAAGAGGAGGAATGGGGTTGAAAGAAAAAGTGAAAGAAGTCCAAAGTATTCAAAATGATGAGGTGGAATGTTTGAAAGATTGTCAGCAGGACTGTTGTTTGCCTGTTGACCGGTGTGGTGATCTATTTATGGGATCAATCAAGAAAATTAATCATTATAACTTTATCAAATTATTAGGAAACTTAAGTGTAGTAGAAAATTTGAAATGAAGGTTTTTAGATCAATTGAAGCTCTTAGAGGCTTATGTGTAGTTATTAACTCAATATTATGTCATCTTATTTCAAATATATTCTTAAGATCATTATAGTTTACTTACAAAGTTATTACAAAAAGAAAGAAAGAAAAAACATAAGAAAAACTCGAAAATATAGGTATACAGGTTGAGAAATGGTTTTTAGGGTATTAATAATTAAGTTATGGGTTTATTAGGGTTAGAATATGAAAGAACAACATTTTATTACACAGTAAAAATTTTAATCTGGGAGGTTGATAAGGAAAGACAAAAGTTATTAGCAGAAAGGTACTTTTTTGAGGATGGTAAACAAGGGTTATACGTGTAGTTTACATATGTGATGGTGGTAGTAGTGGAAATTAAGGTTGCCAAGAGGATTTTCCGGGATTTTAAGGTTGTAAAAGATTATTTCATATTACATGAGCAAGGAAAAGAGAGTAGCAGCTGTGAAAAGTGAAGAAAATAGGTGAAAATCGTCGAAAATGGAGGTTTTCAGCTAATTACATATGCCAAATGACGTCAGAATAAGTTGGTAGATAGCTCATTCAACGCAGAAGAGTGGATTACATAATGAACACCCTTTAAATCATTAGTAACGGAGGTGTATGTAAAAAGTTATAAGGGAAATAAGAAATTGGTGTGAATCTCGAATTTACAGTCACAAGTCACATGTAACACCAAAAACCTTAACTTCACAACTCAATATCTTACTCATCACTCATCAGAAGTAGGTCATGTAGGTGTCAGAAATGATCAGTAACACGTGGGCTACAAGATGCACTTTAGTAATCAAAAATTGGAGCACATCTGAAAAAATTCGTAATCTCAAAAATTGGGTTTCAGCTAGTTTACAAGGAAAAAATCACCTGTATTCATCATAAGAAGTGCTGTACATTACATCATTGCGTCATTGATCACTTTTGGCTGTGAAAATTACATCATACATTAGTAAGTTAACAAGATTATTACATTGCGTCATTACATGGTTTTTAGGGTTATTTAGGCGGATTTGATTGGTTTTTTGAAGTTGTTGACTGTTGTGAAAGTTGTTACATGTGGATATAAGTACTCCTTGATGATTTTAGGATTGTAGCGCCCTTTTCTGCATCTTATACCTTTGGTGTTTTGTTATAAATCATCATTTATTTACTATATTTGTACTAAGATCACTTAAATCCGCCCCTTCAAAGCAAGGAGAAATTTATTTACGTGTGTTAAAGACTACAAGTCTAATTGGGAATAATACTTACAACAGTATTGCTAGTAATAAACATAGTGTGTGATTTTTTTGCGCTTAAAATCTGGGAATAAGACTTAACAAACAGTATTGCTTTATTTCTCTGGTGCCTTTATCTTTTTCTCTGTTATCACAAAGTGGTCAGCAAGTGCCCTTGTGCTGGTTTCTTTGAAGAAGGCAGTCTTTAGGCAACTTCTACTATATTACACGTAGTAGATTATCCCTTCTTAGGTGTTGTAAAGCTCTTGTTGAACTTTAAATACTACAACGCTAGTCTCCTACCAACCCTGGTCAGACCTTCAACTCCAGGGCCTAGGTAGCTCCACTATATAGCGGAGCAAATACCTGTGCCCAGGGGTACAGTCTGGGTACAGGGTTGGTGGTAGTGACTTTGTGACTCTTCTCAATTCCACATTGACAAATGCCATTCGTTGCTTCAAAATGGTTGACTTGCCCGTTTTAACAGTCAAAGCTACCCCCTGTACATTTATTTGGTGCTGGCTAGCTTGTGGTTTGTATATCACAAGGACTCAAAAGGTTTTTTTCAAGTGAGTACATTTTGTTTTCTCATTGATCTCATCAGAGAACTAAGAATTGTTCTAACCTTTGATTTCAATCTTATTACTTCCATAATAATCATCCATTACAACCTTTTCTTCCATTGATCTCAACATGATTTTTATGGCTCCTTCTCCCAGCCTTTCTTGGAGCTTCAGTCAAAGTACCCTCCAGGTACCAGGTAAGTCATCCGGTCAAAGCCTTTGACCAGCAAGCTGGGTTTGTACCTAGTCTGAATTTGTTGCCACTCCAACAGACTCACGGACTTCTCAAAGCATATCATCAGCTGCTGAAGACAGCTCACCTGGCCCACTTCCTCATTGTGCTGCATCACCCCAACCACCAACTCCAACCAAACAAAAGACCAAGGCTCCAAAGGCTAAGCTCACTCCTTGAGGAAAAGTAAGTCTAGATATGTATCTATCCACAGCCCCCATCCAATGGGATCTGGCCTCCCTGAGCCTATCACTGACTCCATGAAAGCCTCATGAAATCTTCAGAAAGATTTCGAAATGACCTCAACCTAAGATTGTGTGGGGCCATTTGCCTGTCATACCACACCGCCAACATATTTACCTCGGATTACAAAATCCAAGGTATCCTCGGATGCAAAACCTCGGACAGAAGCTTCCCGAGCTTTTGATCTGAGGTAATTCTCAGGGTCCGAGGATTTGCCTCCGATGATGCCTCGGATTTCTCAACCCAAGGCATCTATGCTGGCAGTGCCACCAAAATTGCGGCAGCATCATATGGCATCATAAATCTCTACACGCCTGCTCCTGTATTCACACATCAATAATATATAGTCTATTAAACTTTATCATGTAAATTGACTGGGTAATTGGGGTTTGAAAAAAGAATCACAGATGGAAAATATTATTTTTGTACCATAGTTAAGAATGGGATTGTGGATATCTCAGATCTTCATCAATATACATATGCAATAAATTTTATCTTCCACTTCACAATACACTTTTCTACATTTTTGATTTTTGTAGCCTGTGTCTAAAACTCATATTTTTATGTGAATTCTACATGAGCAGTACAATCTTTCCTTGATTTGTTGATTCTAGGAAGGATATGAATATAAGATTGATGGCAAAAACTTTTGGAAATCATTATTTACATGCACCCTACATTCAATCGCAATTGGCCTCAAGGTCAGAGAATTTCAGAAAATTCAACTTCTGTATATAACCAGAAATTACATACAAAAATACTACCCATAGACAAAGGCTGTAGGAGACGGATATGTGGAGAAACATAGTGCGGAGTATATTATCAAATTTAATCTATATGTATTATGAGAAAGATTGAAGTTATTCAAGATCCAAGTCTTATGTATAGTACCAAAGTAGTATTTTTTATCCTTGATTTTTTTTTCAAACCTCAATAGCTCAGTCACTTCACATGATAAAGTTTATTAGACTATATATTCTTGATTTCTGAATACCGGATCAGGTGTGGACAGATTTATTATGACATATGAGACAACAGAATTTTGGTGGTATGACAGTCAAATGCCCTCATACCACTGGTGCCTCATACAATCTTATGTTGAAGTCATTTTGAAATCTTTCTGAAGCTTTCATGAATCTTTCATGAAGTTGTGGTATTCTCTGGACTGCCAGAGCCTAGTAGCTGGGAGCTGCAATCATTATATCTAATATAAGACTGACAATCAACTTGATTATACTTTCTAGACTTGTTTTTCTACCAGTAAAGATACCCGTTTGCCATGACCAGTCCAACACAATGTCCTTCCCAATCATCAAAGAGAGCCCACACCAATGCTGGCTCAGTTGCGCTGAAGAAGCGGTTAGCGTTGCTCTAGCGCAACTGACCTTCGGTACCAATTTTGCACCTTGGCCGGTAACTTGTCCGGAGTTACACTATCCCAGAAAACCCAAATTGGGTAACGGGTACTCAGTACCGCTTCCCAATTCTGGGGATGGGTTAGGGTGGTACTCAGTACCGCTTCCCAGTTCTGGGGTCAAAGCCACACCAAACACTGTACAGTATCGTACACCGATCTTTCCATCCATCAACTCAAGCCTCAGTACACCAATCTTTCCATCCATCAACTCAAGCCTCAACAAACTCACTCTATAGGTCACCAATGTTCTCATCATCTCAAGCCTCAAGTCAATCGATTCACACGGTGGCGGGCGTAACAATTTCCAAGATCCTTGACACCTTCTTTGACTGTGCGCTGTACGATCATGGCGAGAGGCATGGACGACCATTATATGATGGCGGTCATGTAGATTCAAATTGGTCAGTATCTTTGCTCATATCATTGCCAGTTGTTGACCTAATCTTTTCGTTCACTGACCTGCTTCTTGGTTTTTTCATATTATACTATCACTGCTCGTCTCAAAACTCACTTAAAAAACTCGAAAAATTCCTTTCAAAATAATTAACAAATCGTATCTTTCTCTCTTTCTCATTATATTGAATAATCTTTATCTTGATATTGAAAATACTATAATCGTTTCCTATGGATCCATCCCAAAGCACTCTGCCCTTCAACTCAGCCTCAGGTTACGAGACGGATGACGCTGCTCCCCGTCGATCTGGCCGGATTACTACTCCGGCACGTCTAGGACCTGGTATGATTTGTCCTCCATCTGACAGCCGCCAAGCGCTCCCCAGCTTGTCTTTCACTTTTTCCATCACCAATCAACAACTCTTGACATCAACCAACACAAAGGACAAAGGCAAGAGCAAGCGTGCCCGCTCTTTGTCAATTCCTGGATCTACAATCAACACTGAAGCTGAAGATGACACCGACACACCTGAAGTCATCAGTGGACCCGCTCAAAAGATTGCTCCAGCCCCCAAACGAAGTACCCTAGCCGGTCCCAGCAAAGGTAAATCTAAGGTTGTGAATAAGAAGAGTGGACCCCGACGTAAGGATACTGAGGCCGAGTTGAACTTGGTAAGTCATTTCAACTATTACACCTCTATCTCTAATTCTTTATCTCTTATCTCTAACTCACTATACGTCTGATTTTCTATTTTAGGCTATGGCGGCTGAAGCTGGTGTCACCCTGAACCTCGATCAAGACTCTGACGATGACAACAGCCGAGTACGTAAGCGAGTCCGGGGAAACAAAGACCCCAAGGATGATTACGATCCACCAATTCTGTTCTTTGGCGAACCGTACCATCGCCCACATGATGTAAGTCCGGCTCATCAATGTCAACTAATATTTATTTATTTATATTGTTGTTTTTTGCAATTTTGTTTGATTCTAGGATCGGTCAGAGCCACCTTTGACTTTGAAGTGTAAGTATTGTCAAAAAGAGGTGCGCATCAGTGGAAGCTAGAAATCGAATCTCCGTGTTCATCGAGACGGATCAAGCCAGGCTGGCAAGAACAGCTCGGGCTGTCCACGCCGCAATCAAGCAATCAGAACTGGTGCGAAGATACCTCCGACTCAAGCTGAAATCAAGGCAAGGAAGATTCAGAGTCAACATGCAGCGTCAATGGACAACTTTCTTCTGCCGGTTCCCGAATTCGATAATCTGGTGGTGAACCAGATGATCAGTTTATGGCAGGTCACAAGTAGTCTCCCTTGGACTATCATTGAGCACCCAATGCTACGTACAATTCTCATGTATCTTCGACCCGGCATCCAAGTGTACAAACGTAAATGGTCTGCTGAGGAGGCCAAGCGACTTTACGTTGGACTTCGCGAATCCGTGGTCAAAGAACTCACAGTAAGTTCTCTTCGATTTATGATCATCTTTTTTTAAGAAGATATGCTTACATATCTTCTACCATTTCATCCAGTCTCTCACAAGTATGTTCACCTTGATTCAAGATGTATGGACTGTTTCGCGCAATCGACATGCGTTCATTGGAGCGTTGGTGGCTTACGTCGACAAGGACTGGAATTACGTGGTCCGACATCTTTGCTTGAAGCTGGTGGCATGGCATCACAAAGGTGAATGGCTTGCCGCGCCACTCGCAACGGTTCTTAAAAAACACAATCTGTGCTCAAAGATAAGTCTTTGTTTTCTTTTCGTTTGACATATTTAATTTCTTTATTGCTAATTTTTATATCTTCTTTCTTTCTTTCATTTTCGTTCACCTTAATTTCAATCCCAGCACATGATTGCTATGTCATCTGACTCCGGATTAAACAACATGACCTTGGGGACCGAGCTACAACGTCAATTTCTCGAACATGACCCGACTTGCCACTGGAAACCAAAGACGATGCATGTCTTCTGCATCTGCCACAAGACGGGCCTCGTTGTTCATGCTGGACTGGACGCCCTTGGAATTAAACCAAAGCGTCATCAACATGCAACACTCGCCAATTTCCCTAACATAGACGCGATGGAATCTGTGGCCGAAGAGGACGAAAGTATTGTGCTAGATGTCGAAGAACCTGTCAAATCAACATCTAACGATCTTGAAAGTGAGGACGATGCTTGTGATATTGGACTTCTTCTGGATTCTGATGATGAGGATGAACCCGAGGAAGAATGTGTGGAATTTGATGATGAAGATCCTGAAGATCCTGAACCCCCTCGAGCAACTGCTTCCCGTACTAAGAAAGGTCTTGCACGGACTCGCATGGCTCGATTGATCCAAAATGTAAGTTTTGGCTTTCTCAAGGGCTTTGCTCTCTTTTGATGAAGTCATATGTGCTGACTTTTGTGGTGATGTAGCTCAACATAGTAAATAAAAAACTGACTCGATCGGCAGCTTGGCGGGAAGACTTCAACCACCGCCGTGTGATTGTCAACAACAAGCGCAAGGAAACGAAGGAAGGTCCTCCCCTACTTGCTCTCTTGGCTGAATACGGTATACGATGGAATATCGAACTCGATCGATGGGAACGTATGTATGCTGCAAGAGATGTAAGTTCTTTTGTATAATCATTCCTAATGATTATACACTGATGATCCCTCCCCTACTCTCTTCAACGTCTCAGATTATCGATGAGATGATGAAGGAGGATCTGGCCAAGGTCCATGCCAAAAAGCGTCGTTCACGAAAAACTAAACTTGGATATTTTCGAGAACTCGTCTTTTCGGTTGGCGACTGGGAATCACTTCAAGAAGTGATACAAGAGTTGATCGTGAGTTCTTCAATACTTGAGCTGTATTAATATTAGATGGCTAATAACTGTTCACTCCGGAACAGCCTTTGCGAGGTTTGTGTCGCAGGATGGAGGGTGATGGTCCTACTGGTTGTATGGTCTTGCACGAATATTGTGAGCTCAAGCATTCACTTGAAGCTCGACTCAATGGTCTCATGGACGACGATCCCATGTATCCAATGATACATGAGATGCTGCGGCGAACCAACAAATACTTGGACAAAGCCGCAAGTTGTGACTCCTTAGTCCTGGCTACTATCTTTCACCCTAGCTTCCGGCTCGGTTTCTTTTCTTTAAGCTTTGAAGATCATTTGGGCATGAACGGCCGTGCCGATGAATTGCTACGAACCCGATACAAGGAACGTCATGAGGAAATCTCTCGCAAGCCCATTCCATCTAGTTCAAGTGATGATGATGATATTATCTTCGTCTCAAATCCTTCAGTCAAAACAAAGCTACCAAAGGTCTTTGAGCTCTACAAATGTGCTAATACCTCAAGTGATCTTGGCGAGTTAGATCGCTACCTCCAAGGGTTAGATCCTTTGAGCTATGATGATCCTTCACAGCTCTTGAATCCACAATGCGCCTTGGACTGGTGGAATGTTAGTACTTTCTTATTTTGATTTTTCATTATATCTTTCAGGTTTCAATCTTCCTCAACATGTACTGATATATGTGATTAACACAGGAGCACGAAGGCAAGTACCCTATCTTGGCGACTCTTGCTCGAGACTACCTCAGTGTTTCAGCCTCCTCAGCTCCAGGCGAACGACTTTTCACAGTGGCTGGCGCGGTTTGTTCTGCAAACCGAGCCTCTATGCGTCCCCAAACAATCGAGACTTCTGTCGGCAGTAGGATGTGGCGTCGGCAAGCTGTGCCTTTACCTCAAGCATTTAGCAAGGTGGAAAAGGTCATCGATTACATAAGTAAGACCAAAGGTGGAAATGTTTGACACTCTCAGATCATGAAGTTGTGTAGTTGGTCCAAATATTATTTTTTGTCTTTCGTTTTCTTTCTTTCTCTCAAATTATTTCCTATGCCTATGCCCCATCTTATCACTCATCTATGCCAATTTATGTCTTTATGCCTCCATTTTCAATGTTAATTTCAAACTTCGTTGATCGTTTTTTGACCAAGGTCAAGTTGCGTTTTCCCTTTCTGAGGACGTAAAATTACAGTTACGTTTTCCGTTTCAGAGGACGGAAATTGTTCCGTACCCGCTCCGCTGCCGGTAAATTTTGAGCACCAGTAGCTGCCGCTAAAGCTAGCCAAGAATGATTAAAAATGATCTTGCTGCGCTATCAAAAAAGCTTAAAAAAGCTTTGCGTAGCGTAGCGAGCCAGCATTGCCCACACCAATGTAAGTTCATTTGAAGATTGAATCATCAACTCCATTCTTTTGATTCACATACCAACATTTTCATCTTTCTTTCTTATATATTTGGGTCTTTGTCTCACACTCAGGTCTATGACGTCACTGACATCAACTTGTCTCAAGATTTGGACATTGAGATTGTTGGATCCACCAACAATGTTGGCTATAATAAGGCTTGAGTGCTTGCTGTGAAGGACCTTCTCACCTTCTTTCATCCGCCTAAAGTGAGTGTGTTATTTATTATCTTGATACATTATCTTTTTTTGTATGTTTTACAAGAACCCTCACACCAAAATTCCATTTAGGGTCTCAAATACAAGTGTTGATGGTGTCTCAATGACTATTCACAAGGAAAAACTTCTGATTATGGTCTATGGGGGCATCACAATGGAAAAGAGAATCAGCCAGTATGCTCAATGTGTCACAAAGCCATAGCCACTGGAGTGGTTCTTCCCCGTTCCTATAACGAGCAGCTTGAATCTCAAAGCCAGCTCAAGAAGTCAACATTATCTTTGTACCTCAATGGACCCACATTTTCACCAGACCTCTTAAACATGATTCTGGTGATATGGGTTGTTAGACATGCATGCTCCACTGTGGGCACAATTTGAGGGTCCATCTCTTTGCGCAGAATTATAAATTTTCAACTGTGGTGGAGTGGTTCATTCAAGAACCTGGGCTGCGCAACAATCAGCCATATTATTTTTGGCCTTGCACAATCAGGCAATTAACAATGTAAAACTATGTCTTAACTTTGTCTTATTTTTTTCCTTTCTTAAAACACTATTTTGGGGTTCTCCTTGCAAGACCCATTGAACAATTTTTGTACCATTTTCATTGCAGTTTATGTTTCTTTTTCTTGTTTTATGTCTGCATCTGGTTTTTTGCCTTTATTACATGGTGGCGCAGACCACTGACAGTGGTGGTAACAATTAACCTATGACTGCTGAAATGGAGTTGGTGTTTGCATCAGCTGAAGACCCGGCAACCTGGAATGGAACCTCAAAACTTTTCAGCTACTATGCCAATAAACTCAACCTGGTAGTGGGCATGGGCTTAAATCACTCGGTCAAAAGGTTAGTACTGCAAAGCCAACCATTCCACATGGTGTTGCTCTTCCAGTTCCAACTCCCAAGGTCACCAATGGGGATGATGCAGAAGTCATTGATGACTCTGCCTCTGACAACAAGGATCAGGATAATCTTCCTGGCCAGCCTGATGGTGTCAACAAAGATGATACTAATGACAAACCTGGGGAGGAATGTGATAAGGACAAGTTGGTGGCCCTTGCCCTTGGAAAGGTTAGTACGACTTTATGTTTGTCAATTCTTTATTTGGTGCCATCAGTCTAAGCTGATATTCTCTTTCCTTCCACTAACTGTTGATTGATACAGTCAGTGGCCAAATTGCCACTGGTGCAGCAGGGTGAAACAATTTTAAGGCATGTGCAACTTGACTGGGTTACAAGAGTTGCATGTTGACACGCCCTTGCAAGACTCGGTGGAACAGCCACTACAAGAGCCGCAAGGTAGCTTGCAAGACATGGGAGGTTGGTGTTTGCAT